AGATAAGTAAAAATGCATATGCATTCTAAAAAATGCCATCAGCAGTTCAATACTATTTATTTTATATCATATGATAATCATAGGAAGTTTTTCTTTGTGCTGAAACACAGTTTGCATTAGAAATAATTTCTCACATATGCAACCTTCTGTTCATTTTTTGGTGAAATTTTTTATGGCTTTTTATATGTTTAACATTCTTGTCTGACTCTACCAACAAATTCTGCTGAAGATGAAAGCTTCCTTATATGAAATAGTAATACAATATTAGTATTCCTTCTTTGTTTTTCTTTTTTTAATGCTGAATTAGTGCATTTAGGAAAAGAACACTGGTGATTATATGGTTAAAGTTATAGAATTCAAACTTTAAACTTTTTAATAAAATCTGAACAGATGATCTGTGCTTTTTTTTTTTTTTTTTTTTTTTTTTTGGAACTGGCAGGTTTCAGGCCCTCTAATTGGCTTCCCAGCTTTGCAGAGTAATTACAGCTTCAAGCAAACTTTGTCATCTGTGGTTCAGAATGGTGTAAAGTAAACAGAACGTTTTGAAATACAGTTTGTAGTTAGAGCTGCTCAGGAGAGTTTAACTAGCATAACTATTTAATTTAGTACATTTTATTTGGAAAAGATAGCCTAACGTTTTAGAATTATCAGATTGTTTGTGGATATGGAGATAAAATTAACATCTGGTTACCCTCCTTTTTTAATTAAAAGAAAAAATCAATAATTGAGAAACTTGCATTGCATTCTTTATTCTGGTTCTATTTCATTTTTCCATTTCTTATACAGATCCAAAAATGGCCAACCAACTACTACAAAGTTGTTGGAACTGAGTTGTTGATTTCTGTAACTGATTTTGTATTGTGCTGCTTTGAACAAATGTTCTGCCTCAAGGCTTTGTATCCCCTCTAATATTAAGGGGGAAATTTTTCATGACTGATGTTTAATCCCAAGCAAAACAGAAAGCTTTAGGATTAAAACGTGTAATTCCAAGTTGTAGATGGCTAGCATACAAGAACACAAAGTTGAGTCTGTCTGTTTACTGGCTTACTCATCTTTTTTGAATGATAATTTAGACTTCCAACTGTTTGGAGTTGAGATTCAGCCCTTTAATTACATATGTTTATGTATAGTAGCAAACTCGAAGACATTATGGTAGAGTGTTCCCTCCTTTTGGTAATGACCCAACTATCACTCAAGCTTTCTGAGCCAGCTTTCAGTAGCCAGTTTCACTCATTCTTGTATGCTTTTGTAGTTTCCAAACTATTCTGTCTAAAACTACTACATTTTTTTTCCAGTAATTAGTAGAAAAATATTTTGGTAATTAGCAGTAAGTGTGTATTAGAGTACTTATTCATCTTAATAGATTTATTTATTTTCTTACCCTTAGGTGAAAGACATGCACAAACAAATTTTTATTCATGTTGCAGTCGTGGTAGGAATGTTGTTTATCCCGTACATTTGTATACAGCAGCCTGTGAAACATGTGAGTGACTAAATATCAGCAGACTTCAGTTACTTTTATGTACTTCAGCAGGCTGAGTAGCACACACCACTTTCAGAAATACACTAGTTCTCCCCTTCTTTTTTGTTTCAGTAATTGAGGACATTTATGAATTCACTTTTCCTTATAAAAGCAAATTATATATTTAGCCACATTTAATAGAATATTTCGAAAAGCTGTGTAAGCTTTGCTTGATATTATTTTTGAGTAGCATCCTTGTAACATATTCAAATGGCATTTTTTTAATGTTTCATTTCCTTTTTTATTTGCCACAGCATTTTTTATTATATTTAATTGATCTTGTTGTTCAGCTGTAATGAAAATCTGTGAGAGTTAAGGATTCTGTGATATTTCAGATCTTAGTATATGTATCCAGAGCTAAAGTAGTTGTTCTTATTAATGAGGCACACCATCACTTTGAGAAATCTCTGAAGAAAAATTAATATGTAGTGCCAGTAATATGTGTATAGCTTGGTACAGACTTACATGGATGAACATACAAACATACAAAAAAATATAGATAATATATTAATTATGCAAACTGGTCTTTTGACTAACAAGTTCTCTAGTTCTGTCTTGCAGTCTCTCCATTCTAGCTGCTATTTCTTGCTGCTGATCTTAATGAGCCTTCTATCCCCCTAGTGTTTGTTTTCCACACAAGTTGCAGTCTTTCTCCTTTGCCATTTATACTCTTTTGCCTTTATTCCCTGGCTTTTGTTCTGATGTCTCTTCTTTAAATTATTTTTGCTCTATGGATTCGATTTTACCTTAACTGGGTAGCTTCCTTTTTGTACTGTCTGAGGGTAGCAAGAGCCAATACAAACATAGGAGAAAGAGCTTTCTGTTCAGCAGATATGTGGATAGGAGATAGCTGTAGCCTCTGGATTACTGCACAGATTTTTAAGAATTTTATGGTTTAGTAAGTGTTATTGCAATTTTTTTTTTTACCAATCTCCCCTGCGCTCTTTCCTCTCATGCAGAGAAAAGAACAGATAGAATGGACAGTTGTTACATTTTCATAGGAATACTGGAAGGATATCAAAAGTCTTGGTTTGCCAAGTTTTAAGTCTTGTCTCCAAAATGTAGTATTTTCCAGCAGTGTGCAGCTTTAGGCAAACATCGAGCAAAGGAAGTTTCAGCCTATGTGATTGAAGTGTGATAGGATTAAAGGCGAGAGAATGGTTTAGTCAGGGGTAGGACCAGGTAATCCTAGAGCAGACATGCGTGCAGTCTCTTCTGTTATAAAAGTAGTCCTGTGCATTTCTTAAAGCTGCAGTTGAGAATTTTAAGAAAACAAATAGTGTATTCTTCCTAGAGCCCCCATCACTGTCGTTGTAACTTGGGCTTCAACTGTATGCCTGAGGAAAGGAGTTCCTTTGATCTCACAGTATTTGCACCCAGCTGTGACCCTACTATATATTCTAAGTAGCTTCACTTCATCAAGGTCCCTACATTCCCTTCATCTGCTTTTGTCCTTGGTTCTCTTCCACCTTTTGTGTGAAGTTCCCTCTTCCTGTGTCCATCCTACTGTAACACTTTCCTTTAAAAAGCAAAACAAAACAAAACATGTCACCTTGTGCTACAGTTCTTAAATTAAGTTCTTAAATCACAAAGAACCCTCTGATGTCAGAACTTCCCTGTGTCTGTTGAGGATGCAGCACAAGTAAGTCTGATAATGCTTGATAACAGTCAAAGGCCACTTCTGAGATAGTGTTCTTTAGATCTTCAGGTATGCAAATTAATACCTTGAGCAAAGGCATTAAGCTTGTTATACATTAGTAATATAAAAGAGAATTGCTTTATTGTATTTTCAGTTTGTATCTGCATTTCAGAAGGTCTGCTGTGAGTATGCCATTTGTACAATTAACACAACAGGTGTAAGAGGGAAAAGTGAAACAGGCTAGCAGGCACCAAAGTAATGTCGAGTATTTAGAAATTCACTTGAGCTGATGCAGTTCCTTAGACAATATTTAAAACATATTTCTGTAAAATTATCGGTGATAGTTGAGGTGTCAGGACTCTGAATTTGTGGAAAAAAAAGCCAAGATAAAGTACTTCTGTGAAAGAACAAACTGCCTTGAAAAGTGGTACAAGCCATATAACATGACCTCTGTAAAATGCTGACATTATCTTGAGTAAATAAAATGTATTTCTCCAAGAATGAAGGGCAAGGTTTTATGTTAAGTTATAGTCAATGCCATCAACTTCATCAGGGAAAGGTGTGGACTAGCTGGTAGGTTGGAGCTCTATAAAAAGAAAGTTACAGTTGGTCCTAGATGAACAGGAAATCATTTGCTGTTTTCATCATTGATTGATTTTGTTTACTGGAGTCACTTTATATCACATTCTTGTTGAATTACCAGAACCCGGGCTATGATGTTTGTGTTAGATTTATGGTAGCTGCAGGAAAGCAAATCACTCTTTTGACAAAGTAACCTTAACTTCACAAAATAAGTAAATAAATAAATAAAATCATGTTTGCACAAATAAAAAAAATTAGTTGGTCAGTGTAGGTCAGTGTTTTGCATCATACAAATGTAATGTTTTAGTGTAGTGTGCAATGTTGTAAAATCTAACATCAAACATCAAGTCTTATCAAACCACTGAATTAACAGTGTTGTGCTCTTGTGGCAGAGGAATTGAAGATTGTCTGCTGTGTGTCTGGATTTCTGTGTCAGGAAAGATCTGGGATATGAAAGCACAACCTGTGAGCAACCTGTGACTGGCTTAATTGATTTAGACCAGGGAAGACTGAAGAGAGACAAAATAGTCTTCAGATGTCTAAAAGAAATAGCTGCTTGAAGAAGAGAATAAATTGGTTGGAAGGACAAGAAACAATGCTAAAATTATTTCCTAAAATGCTTGGAAAAATTAGTTTGCTTGCAGAGATTTGAAATTACTATTTTGGGGAATTGTAGGAAGTGCTTAAAGAAATATTTGAGGGAAACAGCCTAAATAGGCCTGTTTCTGCCTTGGAGTGCTAAGAACAACAAGCCGGCTTCCTGGGGCAGCCCCAGTGGGCATGTGAGTGGTAATTCTATGTTTAATAATCAGACTGATTTCAGCATCTGAATTCTCCCAGATAGGATATTTTACAATAAATCTAATCGTGAGGTGATGGTACCCTTGTAATTGCGGCATGATTACCATTGAAGGAAAAACATCATACTCCTGCCAGGTACAGATGGAAAACTGTGCCTTTGGCTACTGCTGTTACCTTGCCCTACTGGAGCAATCTGGGATATAATATTCTCACCCTTGTAATAGACCTAATTTGCAAATGGAGATGACATTTTGTATGGGGAACAGTACAAGTTCCATCAATACCTCTGACTTATTTCTTCTACCTTATGTTCAAGCCCATGGTTATATTGGTGTTCTATATTTTCTTTTATGTGCTGACTAGGTATATATAAACTATATATATCTTATCTAAGTAATTTGAGTTTCACACATTACCTGGAAAACATAAAGAGTGAAATATAATGTATTTCTCTAGAATGTCAGCTAATGAAAACAGAGCGACCAAAGCCAAACACATTTATTATCAGATGTCTTCAATGGACCACTGTCATAGAGAGGACATTTCACGTAGACACTCCGGAGGAACGGTGAGAATGTTATTTTTGTTTCTTTTTCAGTATTGGTTATGCACAATTTTCGACAGTCTCAGCTGGGATTGCTCAGTAGTCAGTATGCAGAATTCTGACATTCCAAGCACTTCTGAACAGTTATTTGAACAATTTATAAGTCAGCTTCTGTAAAATATAATCTGAGCTCATATCTAGTCTGCGAACTGCTTGCAAGTGGGATGAGTATGTTCAAATAAGCCAAAACTATGTCATGACATGTCTCCAAAGTGTTAAAATTTGAATAGAAGCCTGCTTTGGAGCTTTTTTCAGCTTTACTGTCTTAGATTTTCCTTTTAGTCTTCTTAATGTGTTCTTTTTGGCACAGAAAGCAATATGTTTGTTATAATTTGTTTTATGGTGTTTATTAGCTTTTCTTCTTTCAGTAAACATAAACACCCTCTCAAGAATTAACTTTTTTAAAGCACAAGTACGTATGGGAGATATGGGATGGCGTATCTCACTAAAATATTCCATTCTGTTTTTCTGGTTAGATGTACTGTATCTTCCCACTGAATGCACCTGTCCTCTTGAGGTCAATACTATGATTTGGCTTTATTCATAGAATCACAGATTGGCTTAGGTTGGAGAGGACCATGAAGATCACTTAGTTCCAACTCTCCTGCAGTGGTCAGGGATGCCAACTAGTAGGTCATGCTATTCAGGATCCCACTCTACCAGGCTTTGAATGCTTCCAGAAATGGGGCATCCGCAGTCTCTCTGAGCAATCTGTTGCAGCACCCTCTAAGTAAAAATTTCTTCCTAACATCTAGCCTAGATCTTCCTTCTTCTAGTTTAAAGCCATTGCCCTTGTCCGTTTATGATCAGACCATGTAAAAAGTCAGTCTCCCTCCTGCTTTTAAGCTCTCTTCAAGTACTAGAAGACCACAATGAGGTCTACCTGGAACCTTCTCTTCTCCAAGCCCAGCTCCCTCAACCTTTCTTCATAGGAGAGGTGCTTCATCCCTCTGATCATCTTAGTGGACCTCTTCTGGACCTGCTCCAACAACTCTCTATCCCTCCTGTACTGGGGGCCTCAGGCAGTACTGAACACAGTATTCCAGATGGGGCCTCACAAGGGCAGAGTAGAACAATCACCTCCCTCTCCCTGCTGGACAGCCCTCTTCTGATGCGGCCCAGGATACTGTTGGGCTTCTGGGTTGCAAGCACACACTGCTGGCTTGTGTCCAGCTTTTTGTCCATTAGAACCCACAAGTCCTTCTTTGCAGGGCTGCCCTCAGAGAGTTCTTCACAGAATCACAGAATTGCAGGGGTTGGAAGGAGCCTCAAGAGATCGAGTTCAACTCCCTTGCTAAAGCAGGTTCCCTACAATAGGTTGAATAGATGGGCATTCATGGATCTTGAACAATTCCAGAGAAGGAAACTCCACGACCTCTCTGGGCAACTTGTTCCAGTGTTCCTTCACCCTTACTGTAAAGAAATTCTTTTGCATGTTTGTATGGAACTTCCTGTGTTCAAGTTTTAGGCTATTGCTTCTTGTCTTATAGCTGCACACTGCCAAGAAGAGCCTGGCCTCATCATAGAAGGCCACCAGATTAGTGAGGCACAGTCTGCCCTTGGTGAAGCCATGTCGGCCATCTTAGATCACCTCCACATCTTGCATGTACCTTAATGTGTTTCCTTGGATGATCTGCTCCATGATCTTCCCAAGTACAGAGGTGAGGCTCAGTGTCCTGTAGTTCTCCAGGTCTTCCTTTCTCCCTTTCTTTAATATGGGAGCGATGTTTTCCTTTTTCTAGTCACAGGGGTTTTGCCTGACAGCCATGATTTTTTAAATATGATGGAAAGTGGTTTGACAACCAGATCGGACAGTTCCTTCAGAATCTTGGGATGCATGTCATCAGGCACCGTAGGCTTGTACACATTCAGCTTCATGAAATGGTCTTGAACTTGTTCTACTCTTGCAGTGGGAGGAATTTTGCTCCCCTGACTCCCGCTTAGAAGTTCAGGGACATGAGAAGCGTGAGAATGCCTGTTAAGGCTTAGGCGAGGAACTTATTGAGTACCTTAACCTTCTCCATGTCTGAGGAGCCAGCTCTCCCTTTCCATTTATCAGAGGGAGTACACTCTTGCCTGTCCCTTCTGCCCAAAGTAACTAAAGAAACCCTTTTTGTGGTTCACATTCCTTGCCAAGTTTAATTCCTTCTGCGCCTTGGCATTCCTGAACCCATCCCTGCACATTAGGACAATATCCCTGTATTTTTCCCAGGCCATCCGTCCCTGCTTCACTGCTTGTACTTCTCCTCTTTTCCCCCAGCGTGACCAGCGGGTCCTTGTTCAGCCGTGCTGGTTTTCTGCCTTGTCTGCCTGATTTCTTCTTCTGGGAGTTGGAGCCCTTTTGTGCTCTCAGAAAGGCATTTCAGAGGGTGAGGCCAGTTCTGTTCTCTTCCTTTTTCCTTAAGGACAGTTTTCCAGGGAATCTCATCCAGCAATTCCTTAAACAGCCTAAAGTTCTCTCTCCTGAAGTTCAGAATCCTGACTCCACTCTTTGCCAGGCCCATATTCGTTGAGATCATGAACTTGACTAGGATGTGGTCACTGCAGCCCAGGCTACCTCTGGTCTTAACCTCTTTTACAGTCACCAGGTCCAACACCTGGTGGGTCTGTCAGTACCTGAAGCAGAAAGCATTGATGGACTTTAGGAGTCTTCTGGATTGCTTGCAGTGCACCATGTTGTTGTCCCAGCTGATCCGTGGGTGGTTGAAATCCTCCACCAGGATGAGGGCCTGCAATCACAATTCCTCTTGTAGCTGATGCAAGAAGTCCTCATCAATAGGCTCCCCTTTATCAGGTGGCCTGTAGTAGACACCAGCCACCACCTATCCCTATTCTTACGCCACAAGCTCTCAACCTGTTCTTGAGTGTTTCTCTGGGACAATTCTTTGCAGTCTATCAGCTTCTTAACGTAGAGGGCAACTATCCCACTTCTCCTTCACCTATCCCTTCTAAAAAGCCTGTAGTCCCACTAGCACCTTGTCTCTCTAACTTAGCTCTACTGTCTCACACCAGCATATGGGCAGGCTTGCTTTTACCCCCTTTAACCCTAGTTTAATGCCCTGTCAGTGAGCCCAAATACTTTCTGGGCCAGAATTCTTTTCCTCCTCTGATCCAAGTAGACCCCATCAGTAGGCATTATTAGGTCAAGTGCAGAGTAAACTGCCCCATGGTCATACTGTTTATACCAGTAAATAACTAATGATTTTATTTTTGCATTGTTTCTTCTTTTATTAGTATATTCACTTACACCATTTTAAATTCTACCATTTAAAATCTATTGTTTTCGTGATGCTTTTTGGAATTTAATTATTTTTGAGAACCTCTGATTCTCAGGGGAATTTGAAATTAGCCAAACAGTTTAAGTTTAAGAGGGAATAGACAAAGAGTTGAACACATACTGTAGATTAATAAATTTTAATTATTATTAATTATTAATAAATCTCAATTATTTTCTTATGGTGAGGGGGGACATTTCTTGACTGGATTGTTATCATACACTATGTGTCAGGTAGGACATGACATGCTAAGTTCTGAGTAGTGTTATAACTGACAAGAATTTTCAAGTTTTTAGTATTTAAGTATTTATAAAATCAGAGACTGTTAATTCTTGAAATAAACTAAGCACTGATTCTTTTTGATACTGATCAACCTTAGCGCCTCATCCATCATGCAGAATATGGAAGGAAATTGAAAATATTAAATTGTATGAGACTTTGGCTGTGTGACATGAGAACTGCATGTTGAAGCAACGTAGCATGTGAAAAACAATATAAACAAATTATTTGGATGTATTTTAGAAGTTTCTAATAAGATTGTTGACTTGTTCATGATAGGGAAGAATGGACAGAAGCAATCCAGGCTGTAGCAGACAGACTTCAGAGGCAGGAAGAGGAAAGGATGAACTGTAGTCCAACTTCACAAATAGACAATATAGGTGAAGAGGAGATGGATGCTTCAACAACTCATCATAAAAGAAAGGTAATGACATTCAAACATAACTAATAAGATTAATACGTAAGTAACTTCTGCAAAGTGATCTAGTAGGATATAGAAGCAATAATATCTCTACATAAATTTCAGCGTACTACAAGCATAGAAGTACATACTTATTTCAGTAAAGCTGTACTGCTCTAATTTTATTCATTTGTTATGCTGTCTGGTACACCACCTTTCAAAGGCAGAGTTCAACCATTCAGGCACATGTAAACAATCTGCTTGTTTTTTGAATATTATTTTGTTTTTCCCTTTATGTTTGTTTACTCTTCCAGAAGTATGGGAATAAAATATTTTCTTTAGAAAAGTGTTTACCCACTTTCTCATGCAAGTAATGCCCAGTACAAATTAAATGATTTGCATGAGAAAGGATAGCAGAATTTAGCTTTTATTGACCTTTTTTTTTGCTGGTTTTTTTTGCAAGAAGTTTGCTTTAATTTTCAGTGAAAACAGTATCCTATTTCTTTGGAATCCTTCACAGCTTCTGCAGTAAGTAGGAATGTGTACAGTGCTGTCTATAGCACGCTTGTAGTTATATCTCCAGAGTCAACAGGATAAACGCATTATGTTTCAAATATTGTGTCAAGTAAATTTCTCCTTATTATTTTGGGTTTCCATTTTGTCCTGTGTTTCTGGATGTACAAACTACTCTTTAAGAATAATGAAGAATTTGAGTGGATGTTTCTCAGTTATTAGACAGGATTGACAAGACTCAAAAAATGCATTGAAATTACATGAGAAATAATAACAGGATTCTATAGGATTGGCTTCATTCTTTCTAGCTCCAAAATGAAACCTGTGCAAAATTAAGTGGAAGTCTGCAGACAGCAAAATAATCTTAGCTAGTGTCACAGAATGTGTCTTAATGATGGACAGTGAAAAAGAATCGTGAACATTGCAAGAATTATGAGGCAAGAATTATAGAAAGATCAGTGGCTGACAGCTGTGTCCTTAGGAATAGGGAGTTACTAGAAGCCTTAATTCTGTCATTTCCTAAGTTTTGAGAACATGAGTTTGCAATACTAGCATGGTTATTTCATGTAGTTTCATTGTACATAATTTTCTATGCTTTTTTTCTCTGCTTAAAAAAGAAAAACTAATCACATACAGGCATGACAATACTCTCATCATGAACTGTCAGGTTGGAGAGCTTGACACTGAACTTTTAGCCTCGCAGCACAGAGATTTAGTGATTGTGCTCCAGGGTAAAATATAATAAGTGACAGCAAGATGGAGGCTGTGTTCAAGATGTGTCAGTCTTTATGAGAGGCAGTATGATTATGGAAGGGATTTGGGTTTGCTCTTTTAAAGATCTGACCACTATGCCAAGCTTGTGTATCCTCCTAGTAGACTACAAAAACACTGCATAACAGCAAGAGTTTTCAAGGTGTCAAAATAAATGTGGTCTAATATAAGTTGCTTATCTGAAACGTATGCTCTCCTTGTTCACAGTGCTTTTCCCATACAACAAAAGTGTTACGGGAATAAGAGTAGGTGGAAGATCATTCTGTTTCTTTCTTGCTACTTATGCTGTAAGTAGCAAGTAAAATTCCAATGGACCCAAGTAAAATTCCAGGACAGTGCATGTGCTGTGCTATTGAATAAATATAATGTATTTCTCAGCAAACCAAGAGCAAACTACAAATCAAATGTGAAATAAAAAATGGTGATATTCAACACCTAATGACAGCTCAGAATGAAGTGTGTGTAGCCACTGAAAAGCACACTGATAGCATCAAGGAAGTTTTTTTCTGCCAAAACTCAAAATTCCACTTCAGATTTAAAACTTATGGAAGACCTAGCAAAAAGTGCTCAGAAGTTTTTTTAATAACGTGTCCTGAGTGACGTTAATAAAGGGGACTCCCTTGTTGCTCCTTTTGTATTAATTGAAATTAGAGGATATAGTTTTTTGTAGAACTGTTTCTGAAAAGCTTCTGCTTAAGCATTTGTATTTGTTAACAGAATCAGAACCATTTCAGTTATATCTAGTTAATGTGTTGCCTTTTTTATATTAGGTTTCTTTCAATTTCAACAATTCTTTTTTGCATATTGTGTCCAAAAAGCTTGTTTAGTCACCTGATTTTGTATCTGCACACAGTGAATTTTGCTTGTGCACGCACCAGATGGTATTCATACAAGTAGAAGAGCATAATCAGATTAAGAAGTAAGACAGAGAGATGTGGGTCTGTTTCTTCTCTTTTTTTTTAAAAAAAAAAAAAAAAAAAAAAGAAGTAGCAACAGGTTTACAAAGAAAACAGTCTTTAAGTAATTGAACTTGCTTTGAACAGCCTGGCAGCGACATCTCTGCAGCATCTCTGTCCGTATTATCTGGAAGAGCCAAATACACCTTTTTATTTTGCAGTTCTTTAATGGTGCCAGTGTGCCACTAAAGTTCCACAGTAATATCATCACTAACATTTCAAATACAAAAAACAATTAGCAAACTGCTTTTATTCCTTGCTAGACTATTTCTGTTAAGTAAAATTTCTTCCGGATGAAGTCAGATGAAAATTCCCAGTCATATACTCCTTGTGTATATCAGGAATATTTTAAAAGTAGTTTTTGATTGGTAGGAATTTCAATAACCACAGTAAAGTGTATTGTTTTGAAAAGAACACACGTAGCAGGAGTAAGTAGGCTTTACAGAAAGCTGAATATCATGCAGTTCTTTGGCCATTTTCTGTTATTTGTTTGCGAATTTGTTTTTCAGGGTTCAGCATGAATAAAGAATGGATTTTTTCAGAGAAGCTGAAGTACAACATAATGAGCAAAAAAAATTCACTTCTCAGGGTTCAGTAGGAATGAAAAAAGTGGGAAAATTATGAAGAAAACAGAAATCAATCTTACGGAAGCCTCCAAATTTGCTTACCAACATTCTCAGGTTTAGGAAGTATTTCAATTTTTTCACCAGTTTTCAGTACACTCTTAGCTGTGGCATCTGTGTTTTTATCTCTCAAGGTCTTGTGTTCTTTGGCAGACTTTTTGAGTTACCCTGCACTGAATATCATCGCTAAGCCTTCTGCTAAGCTTTTAAAGAATGACAGCATCAGGATACTTTATTCTTAGAACTATCACTGCTACCATAACCTGCTGTTAAGCCACGACTCAAAATCTCTCAGAAGTATTACCTTCCTTTTATAAATCTGCATTTTAAAAAATCTGTTTTTAGCAAGATTGCAGCTAGATTCATGACTGCTTTGATGGATGATGTAAACAAATTTTAGGCAAATGAGTTTCAATTTGACTGGCTTGCTGCCCTTAGCATCAAGCCCATGTCTGTGGTCAGTTGAGCCAATATCCTCCTTCTGTGTACAGGCAAAGGGCTGCTATTATGAACTGTCTTTGTTCAAACTCAGATGTTTTCTCTCTAAATTCAGCCTCTCAAGGATGATTGGAATTATGGAAAAAGTTACCCCTTCCTTGCAGCTTATGGTCCGACAAATTTTTGACAGTTAGAAGTGATGAACTTTTATGTTCATTAGGTATTCTTTGTCATAAAAGCTGTTGGCTTATCTGTGTGGGGGAATGCAGTACAAAGTTAGGGTGAACTGTGCTCTGAATTACTCATCTTGTGCCTGAATTGTGTTTTAAATGCATTTTGAATTTCATAGAATCATAGAATGGCCTGGGTTGAAAGGGACCACAGTGATCATCTAGTTTCAACCTCTCTGCCACACGCAGGTTGCCAGCCACCAGACCAGGCTGCCCAGAGCCACATCCGGCCTGGGAACTTACCAATGTGAATTTTGACAGTTTTCAATGCTTTAACTTAAAGACGGTTTCTTTTTGCTTGATGGTTATCATAAAACTATCAAAGTAGATGTTCTGACTTTTCAAAATAGTGACTGTGATATTTGAGAAATGTTCCTTTTAGTTGATGGAATAGCAGTTGCCACGTAGCATTTGGATCACAGCATTATGTATACATTATATCCATTAATGGTAAGAAGAAGAATATTTTGAGAATGTTCTTTAATAGGGTAAGTTTCAGAAATTCCCAAGCTAGAACACATGACCTTGAATGTATTTCTTTTGAATTGATATAAGCTAAAATTGTGCTGTTTTTGACCAGTCAGCAGTGGGACAATAGAGGGACTTAGCTAAGATAAGAGAAAGTTTTGTTTGCATGTTTATGAGTACGCATGCATGTACATGTGCAACAGATCTGTTTTTCTGTAAATTGTGACTTTCCCATATTAGTTACTGTGACTTGTTTTGTATTTTGCTATTGGAATCCCTAGCTATGAATATGAGTGGAAATACACAATGGAAAGAATTCAAACAAAACTAAAATTTTGGCTTGTAGTGACAATCCATGTATATTTTCATCATTTCTTTCTTTATTCTCTTAATGCTCCCCTTGTGTTTTGAGGTAGCTAAGAGGAATTAGATAATAATAATAATAAATGATATTTTTAAAACTGTCAATGTAGTAGGTGATATATAATATACAGAATGAAAGTCATCTTGAAAGTCTCCTGAAGAATTTGTTATTCCAACTTTGTTCTGTCTGATCTGTTTATTTTAAAATATGTGTAATTTCCATATCACTGTTTTTTTTTTTTTTTCTGATACTTTCCTGTATTTCTTATTTTAACTGATACAATAAATACTTTTATTAGATTGAATGTTTCATTTAAGAGTATAAATAATAATGTTCCTTCCATTTTGGAGATGTCTACCCTCAGATTGACTGCATATCCTCAAAATTTATTAAAAAGCGACTACTAACTATTACTTGATATTTCTATCATTGGAGTAGCTTTACAAATTGATGGTTGTACTTTCTGGTAAAGACAGCATTGTCCCCTTGCAGAAAAAACCTTTAATTCCACCCACTCTCCATCACTTAATGAGTGTTTTACAACCTTATGAAAAGGTCCTGTGTTTATATGTCCTGTGGTTATTTGCAGAGCTAAGAAAAACAGTTCCATGAACAGGCTCAAAGTTTAAATAGGTTCTGGTAATAAATCAGTGTATTTTTTTTACTCTTATAGTTTTACTCCTCCTTCCTAATCAAAGAAGAAAGCTCAAAATTATTTGAAGTTTGAGATTGCAGGAATGTGACTGCAGAAAGACTAAATGGAAGATAAATTTAGAATTCTGATAAACAAAAGGCTAATATGTTGGAAAGGATAGTAGTGTCATAGTAAATATTTCTAATGAGTACTTGAATCAGTGTCTGAAATTAAAAGATATTTATAGAGAAGTAATTGTTTTAGGCTTTGGCTAAATATTAGAAAGATAGGTAGAATTGTAGCTGAACTACGTACTTTGCCTGAGCTTGAGCAATGATTGTCTTATGGTTCTAAAATATGTTCATGATGCAGACTCCTGGAGTTCACTATTATCAGCGATTTCATTTTGACAGGAAAATGTTTCATAATTCTTTATCTTAAAACCAATACAAGCTTCTTGTATTAATTATGTATCAATACATATATAGGCTTATTATTAATTTGTTTTTTTACTTACTTGTAAATTTCCCTGGTTTTGTGCATCTCTAGTTGTAGCACATTGCAGTAGTTTTTGGAAAATTTGATCAGTTAAGGCAGTGTTTAAGTCTATGATCATAAACTTAAACTTTATACTGATTTGTGTGTGTGGCTCAGGTTTTGTGAACTGATAATATTGGTGATACCATTTGGTTGTTTGCAGAAGCATTTTGAATATATTTTGGAACTGCATAGCTTACGTCTTGCTAATCCTTGCTTGTTCTTTGCTCCTTGTAGACAATGAATGACTTTGATTATTTAAAACTACTGGGCAAAGGCACGTTTGGCAAAGTTATCCTGGTCCGAGAGAAGGCTAGTGGGAAATACTATGCTATGAAGATTTTGAAAAAAGAAGTAATTATTGCAAAGGTAAGGAAGGTTGTATTTTTAATTCTCTTCCTCTTCCTTCCCCCTTCCCCCTTCCCCCTTCCCCCCCTTCCCCCTTTTTCCTTTTTCCTTTTTCCTTTTTCCTTTTTCCTTTTTCCTTTTTCCTTTTTCCTTTTTCCTTTTTCCTTTTTCCTTTTTCCTTTTCTTCCCCTTCCCCTCTCTTTTTCTTCTCTCTTCTTTTTTAATGGAATAATCAGCATCTTATAGTAAGCTATATTTGATTTTTTTTTTTTTTTTTTACGGTAACTGATTTTAATAGAATATATGTGTATCTTCAGAAAACAAGAGTTAACAAAATTAACGTGTACAGATCTTTTTACTCCTTTTTCCACTGTTCAGTAACCTAGAGCATGCTAAAGCGCTTAGAGAATTCACTGTGCAGGAAAGTTGTGCCATCTAAGCTTATAAATAGAAAAAGTACATTGTAGGGTATATTATGTACTTAAACATTTTTAAAGTGAATTGCAAGTTAGTCAGATAAATACAATTAATTTAATTAATTAATTTAATTAATTTAATTTAATATGCTGTTCCTGGTTTGTTAGATAAGATTAGCCATGCATGGGAATAACAATTTTATTGTTCCAGTTTTTGAGGTACAAGAAAGAAATCTGAGGCTGAAGTCTGTAGAAATTATTTAAATTGAAATCGTCAGTCACACTGGATTTATGAAACATTATTGGCCCTTGTGGTTGGTGATAATTCTATCCAGCTTTAACTTGAAGATCTGAACTTTGTTTCTCGTAATGCTAAAGTTTTGAACCCTACTTGCTCAAGACAACTTTGGGAACAAGAACAGTACTTGCTGTTGTCATCGTTATACAATTAAAAATAATTGTGATTACTAAGTAAAGAGGTTTTTGAGGGATGTGAGCCTGACTGAAATTTCTTGAATGCTTGAGGCAAGTAATACCAGTGTTCCTGGAAGCTGATTGTGGATGACAACAGCTGTGGATTATATGTATTTTCAAATATTCATTCATTCAAATGTTTTCCAGTTTTTCTACTTGTGAATGAAAAGAAGGGCTACAGAGTTCTGCAAGCTATCTCACTGTTCATTTGTCTGCTTGTCATTCTCATTCTAATAGCTTTTGAATGTGTTGATCAGTCTTGATTAAATTTGAAAAAGGAATAGAAACCTCAAAGGCGATTACATTTCTTTGAGCTTCGTGAAAACCAGCTTCTGTTTTGCTTATTCTTCATTTTTTTGCCTGATATAAACCTCATGATTCACCAGAGAAGTGTGGATTCCTTTTTATTTTTTCTTCTTATGAAGGCAGTAGCAGTTTAGGTAGTTTTTACTCAGATCACAACTGACGAAGAATGAGAGTTATGGAGAACAGTCAATATCACCTCAGTGATATTCCTTCTGACATGAATAGTGTCAGTAGCAAATCGATTTTGTGTGCACTTGGAAACTTAAAAAATACAAACAAAATTGATGCTTAATAGTAAAACTAGCAGGAATGTGTATTTCTTAAATTCTGCTTTAACAATATTGAAAATTTTACCAACAGGTGGAAGTAAATAAGTAATGATTAAAATAACTTAATCATTGTAGCGTAAAAAGTCTCTATAGGGATACACTACAATGTTGTATAAGTATGTATTAAAAGTTTATTTGTAGATAAGCCCTTATCTCTATCCTCAGGTCATTAACATATTATAAAATTCACTAAGTTTATGAATGGTGCGCTGTTCTCCCTGCTTTTTCAATTGGAGTCTGAATCTGAGAATAGGCTTTTTATCCACTTCACCAATAGAAGAAATATTGCAGACTAAGTCCACATTATTGAAGATTAGAAAGATAGGTGGTGAGCCTCTTGGATTTGTTGTTGCAACATCACTGCTTATTACAGATTGCCAGTCGGATCCAAGATAAAGTGATTTATTTGATTTTGTTGTACAAATGATTCTTTAGAATAGCTTTTCTCTTTGAAGCAATTTTTGTTTTTCCCCCAGTACATGGTTGTAGTGTCTATACTCAATAATGCACTACTACTTAACTGGATGGCATCAGAATTTATTACTGAGAACTCTTGTTATTTTTTTAACTTCCTATTTTGACAGTTTTTAAAGCATGATCTTAAAACTCCTGACATCTGTGTTTACTTTAATAATAGTTCAATTAGTAAATTAGTTTAATGATACCTTATCTTCAGAGCTGAGCATAAGCATGCCCAGGACAGTAATCTTACGTTAGTATTACTTGCGGCAATATTAAAGCATATTCCATCTAAATAAATTTACGTATGTGGTGTTATGGTTGGTGTTTTAGTCACCAGGTTTGTCTTGAGTTCAGTATAATACTCAGCTGATGCTTAGCGCCACAGTCAATGGAAAAAACTAGCAGGGTGCTTCTTGGCTTTTTAGGTCAGGCCCTTGGCAATGTGAGGGCAACACTGGCCATAATCTGTCCCTATGGCCTTGAGCCCTTCATCTAGGCTCCTTCCTTGCTTGGAAAGGCAAGAGAGGGCTCTGGAGGGAGAGACAGCTGGCAGGTAGAGGGCAGATGAGCTTTCCCAGGCACTAGTATGCACTGGAGCTGAGTTTCTTTCCATTTGGCATGGGGTTTATGGCAATCCTGTGATTTAGGCTGGGGGACAGGAGAGTGCAACTGTCTTGCTCTGAATTGCCATGTTTTCTAAAGCTGGCTGGAAATGGGGAAGGGCATTCCCTGGCCATCTTTCGACTTGCTTCCAGGAGGCAGGGCAGGCTTGGCCAGAGAAGTGCTTCTCATGTGATTTCTGTAGGATCACACAGAGGTTGAGGAAGGATTTTGCATGGACACTCTTCCATTTTGGCTGAATGGTTTTAAAGAAAAACAAAACAAACACCAAGACAATGTTAAAAAAAGAAAAAAATGCTGTAAAATTAGACTTTGTTCTATGATTGCCTATCAGCTACTAGCTGTGTACCTTTCCTGCAAACTGATTTAATTTCAGCCTGTGTTCATCATTCAGATGATGCACATGAGAGCTTTACATTTCTGATGACTTTGCAGGTCTGATGGCTATATTATGAAAAGACCAAATCCAAGATTATTGTTTTTTTCCTGCCCTGCAGTATTTGTAGACTTTAAGACTTCATTTTAAATCAATATTTGAAGAAAAATCAAATATGTTAAATTGTATGTTGCTGAATTTCTTATTTTACTTTACGTTTTTTTCTAAAAACAAATTAATACTTTTAATGTTTTGGGTATTTTTTAGTTTCATTCAGTGAGCAATTTCATTCGTTTTTCATATCTTCAGTGTAGATTTGTGTTTCTGGAAGTATTAACTTTTCCTTGTAGTAAACTAACAGCAATTTTGTATCTTAATTAAAACCTACTTCTTGTATTTTTTGCTTCTTAGGATGAAGTGGCTCATACACTTACAGAAAGCAGAGTATTGAAAAACACCAGACATCCTTTTTTAACAGTAAGTATTAGGAACTAAATATTATGTGCCATTAGAGCTTAAATAGGTATTTTCTACATGTTGGACATTCCTGTATGGACGTAACTTACAGACAAACTTTGAAGTCTTTCTCATGAAGATGTATAATGGTTTTGTACTTATTTAAGTATTCAGAAATAAAATTTCTAATAAATTTATAATGCCTAAGTGTACTGAAAACACATTTTGATGTAGAATGTAATTGTTCAGAACTTTTTATATATGAACACTTTAAAACGTGATTTTACGTATTTATCCCAGAAGTTATTTTTATTAAGAAAACTTCATCTACAAAGATTTCAATAAAATGATGAAATGGCAATTAGTTCAGCAGAAGCAACTGATGGAGCAACAAAGTTTAACCACTGCTATTTCAATGTCTGTCTTCACTTGGTTAATATCTAATAGAAAATTCTGAAAAGAAGATGAGAATTTTGATATGCATGACAAATTACTTCTGTAGAGGTAACTATTAATCTTGTTCTTTGAGAACATATTAGAAAATCTTTTCATTGATTTCAAAAGATTGAATTATTGGAAGGAGGGGAAAAATATATTTTTTTCTATTAAAAAAAAGGAATGCATAACATGGAAACTTCCTCATGTAGAAAAAAAAAAACGTTATAAAGCAAAGGACTTCAGTTTCATTCCTTGGCCAAAATATTCTTGAATTCAAGTCAACAAGTTCTTCAGAAGTTTCTTAGAGTGTAAAGATAAGCAGAAGTAGGCATAATTGTACTCAAGTCATGCAGAGATGTCAGTGCAGGTGTATCTTTATATCTTCCTGATTTAGTAAAACAACTATTTTAAGTTATGTGAGCTGCATTATGATTTTGTTTTACTACATTTCTTAATTTTAGGCCATATCTGCATCTGTAGATTTTCTTCAGTATCTTTTTTTTTTTTCCCAGCAAAATGAAGTCAATATTGAAAAGTTAATCTTCTGGTTAAGAAGATAAAATCAAATTTTGTTAAAGTGCAAGAAACCAGGTTAATACAAATTGATAATCGTTTTGTTTTTGCTGTTTTCTTTGCAAGTCCTTGAAATATTCCTTCCAGACAAAGGATCGTTTGTGTTTTGTGATGGAGTATGTTAATGGAGGAGAGGTAAGTTTAAAAAAGACATTTTGTACTAGTGATAGTAGTGCTGTCACTGGGTTACACTTTAAAGGGCGTAATTTCTCTCTCTTTCCTTGCTTTCTGTTATTTTTGAACTGTTTGTTGGGTCTTTTTTTTTTTTTTTGCAATTTTTTTTTGACTGTTTTGTGGAAAAAAAGAAAAGTTGACCTTTTTTAAAACTATGATGCATTTGTCCATTCTTGAAAAATTAGGCTATTATTTTTTGAAAGATAATTTCATGGTAGGGTGATAAGCACAAATCCTTTGTTTTATTGTTTGCTTTTTTATTTTCTTCCTTCAAGTACTTATAGCATATTCTGGCACAACGTGTTTATAAGCCACTATAAAGAAGCTGAAGTAGTCTTGCTTTTGTCCTGATGTGAAATACGTGCCCTCTACTTTGCTGTAGCCATTGCAAATACCTGGGAGGAAAGAATGGGATGTTTGTATTTTTCTTTACTTCCTTCCTTTTTGCTTGCTGTGCCCTCTGGAAATTTAAACATAGGTGCAAAACTTTTTATAGTGTTGTAAGCCATTGCTGTCCTCCAGCTGTTCACTGAAGTATGGAGTATAAAAAGCTATATTCCAGTCAAGTGGAATTAAACATAATTACAGTATAGGAAGAAAGATTTCATCTGCCTTTTGAGGGTCTGTTGCTGTTCAGTCTATACCTCATTACAGTGTGAACCAGGGGGAGTTTGATACTTTGTATGCTATTAATGCCTGGTAGCATTACAGAGTCACAGAATCACAGAATCACCCGGGTTGGAAGGGACCCCAAGGATCATGTAGTTCCAACCCCCCTGCCTAGCAGGGCCACCAAACATACACATTCAGATCAGGTTGCCCAGGACCCCGTCCAACCTGGCCTTAAACACGTCCAAGGACGGGGCATCCACAACCTCCCTGGGCAGCCCGTTCCAGGGCCTAACCACTCTCCTAGTAAAGAACTTCCCCCTAACATCCAACCTAAATCTTCCCTCCTTCAACTTAAAACCATTTCCCCTAGTCCTGCTGTTATCAGCCCTTTTGAACAGTTTACTCCCCTCCTGGGTGTAGGTTCCCTTCAGGTATTGATAGGCTGCAATGAGGTCACCCCGCAGCCTTCTCTTCTCCAGGCTGAACAAGCCCAACTCCCTCAGCCTGTCCTCACAGGGGAGGTGCTCCAGCCCCCTGATCATCTTAGTCGCCCTCCTCTGGACCCTTTCCAAAATCTCTATGTCTTTCTTGTACTGAGGGCTCCACACCTGGACACAGTACTCCAGATGGGGCCTCACAAGAGCCGAGTAGAGAGGGACAATCACCTCCCTGTCCCTGCTGGCCACATTAAAGGACTAAGTGTTTTCCCCTTGCTTTTTTGATTAGAAAACAATTTCTACATTGAGGAACTGTTGCAACATGATGTCATGTTTTGCATGATCTTTTTGCTATGTTCTGCTACAGTAAAACTGTCTTCCATTATAATCTTCATGCTCAATCACCCCAGGGGTGCCTGTTCTGCGTTCCCTGCTCTGGCAATTTCTGGGCCTAGTCTGAGGCTCATTTTCATTTAAGTCATTTATGGTCACCCTATACCACTGAACATGGTGGTACAGGGTTCTCATATAAGAGAATGGCTTAAGTTTGTATCTATTAATCCTACTCAAATAATGAAGCAGTTTTGGCTAGTGGAATTGTACACAGAATTTCCTTCAGTGGTAATGCTATAATGGCCTTCTTTTGAATACTCATCTGGCTTATTTGGCTTTAAACTTACATCAGAAATATTGAGTGCTATTTACAATGAGTTTTAAAAATTATTCCTTCTAAACTAGCTAATTCTTCTGAGTCTTCTCTGTACAGGACCATTTTGTAATCTCATACTTTGAAGGTATGCATTTAACATCGACCTGCTGTTTATGTTTAGATGCTTGCTTTCTTGAAAGCTGCCTATGTGAATGCAGAAGAGAGCCCACTAGGAACATTTTTGATTCCTTGATTACAGTTGAAGATGTTATAATACCCTCTTTTGATTAAGCATGTATCTCGCATCTCCTTCTGTGTTTGGTGGTGTGCCTTTGTGGCAACTGCTGCAAACATGTTTCTTGCTCATAACCTGCTTTTGCCCATTGGGATTTGAATATAATGAATATATGATTGTAATATACTTTGCCAAGAATGGCTTACTTTTTTTTTCCAGCTGTGATGCTGTTGTTTGTTACTGTTTCTGGTGTTCTTTCTGATGGTCACTTAGTTCAGTTAAGCTAAGCGCAGATTTTCACCTTAGTGGGAAGTAATGCCCTTTATTCGGTGGCAGTTTTCCTTGAAGAAACTCTTTTGATTTATTAAGTGTTTCTCTTTTATGATCTGGAATGATCAAAGTGCCCTTTTTAATAAGAAAATATTTAGTTTTACCAAATTTCCATGTGAATTTCAGACTTAAGTCACTGTCTGCTAAGGAATTCAATTTTGTATTTGTAAAAATAGCCTTATTAAATCGGAGTAAGTCATACTAGATTTAGCCAACATTTTAGCTGTTCAGAAGCCTATCTCCTATACTGCGCACAGACTTCTGTCTTCTGTTGTTTTCCTCCACTGCTCTCTCTGTGTTTCAATAGTTTCTAACCATTGAAGATGTTGAAAACATAACTTTTAATTGTGTCTTTCCAGTGGGAAATTGTCTGTAACAGTACCATGTTGCTTTTGTTTCTCTCCAGAACTGTGCTAAATTCAGTTGTGTTTCTGTTCAGATTTCCTTTAGATTAAAGTTCACTTCCTAATTAATTGGGCCTTAGTCAATTGCTTGGGAATTTTCTTGGATTATATCTTTCAGGAGTGAGTTACCCAAACAGTCCTCTGAATGAAAGAGTTCTTGAAATTTCTGTCAGTATCGTTGACTCTGACCCAGGTGAAAGCAAGATAATGCCACAATTCAGAGTTCTGCTCTATTATAGTAATGAAAAAGATGTAGTCGGTACTACAGGGATCTTCAGTTTCTCTTCTTGAGATTATGAAGGAAAACAGTAAAAGAAGGAGTTCCTGAATTTCATTCTGGAGGGAAAGAAATTGTATTAAAAATATTCTAAATACGAATCTCTATATCAACTAAAAATCTAGAACCCTGTTAAATTTGGTAACAATTTATCTTAGAATTACATTTCCTGCCTAATATCTAAGCAGTTAGACTCAGTTAAAAAGGCAGGCCTTTATGAAGAGAAAGTAACTGCTTCAATTTTACTGGCCTATGTGTGTGCTTTTTATTACAGTTTACAAAATATAAATGTGCCTAATTTTCTTTTAATTTCACTTTTAAAATAGTATTTTCTGTAGTTACATTTATAAAAGCAAGATATTAGAAGATTTTTTAAAGTAGATTATTCAGACAGAAACATTAAGTGCATTTTTTTATAATGGCAGCTTTTATAGTACATCTTCTGTTACTTAGGGACATAATCTTTATTACGGACTGAAATGTTAACTTTTTTGTTAGCGTTTAACAGTGTTTATTGATCATAAATTATGCTATAGTATAGTGCATGGATGCTGCTACTGGCATTATGCTGACTTCTTTATATGTCTGTTACGAAGGAATTACATTAAAGTAGCACCAAGACATTGATATTTCATTTTAATGAAAATCTGGCTTTCATCTGGCTTAGTTGAGATGAACAATTCTATTTTATGAATTCTCAGTAACCAACTATATGCAGTATTGTATGATAAACCGTGTTCTTGATTTTGATTGAAAATACGTAACATTAGTGTAAGTTTTTTAAATGAGTAAAATTATCAGTACTCGTAGACAAGCACCTACTTTAACAAGACTTTCATTTTCCTGCTCCTGCAGGAGCTTTTTCTCATGCTTTTCCTGCTTGTATGGATTTGCCTACTTTTTCTTCTATAATCCGTATTATTTTGAGAACCATGTGATTACAGTAAGTTAGCAGTATGTTATAATATCCTCCTGGCTCCTTACATGCACAGAGTTGTATGAACTATGGTATAAAAAAGCCATACTAAGAACGGCTCTGGTGTTGGGAAATATTTTCAGAGTGTATGTTTCCCATTTTTCATTTCTGGTATTTTGCATTAAAGGATGGAAAGCTACAGGAGTGAAATCTATCACTCACATTAACTCTGCAGAATACACTGATTCAGTTGATTAGTAAGTTGAACTTTCATGCTTTGCACTTTCAACATAATTTAAACTTCTATACTTTGTAACTAACTTAATTGCTAATTATCTGTGTAATAAAGATAAATAAAACAGACATTAAAATTTGTTCAGATGATTGCTTTACACCAGAATTCTGAATCTGTTCTACTTGGCATTTGTTTTCTGCAGCTCTTAGTTCAATTCATTAGGTGAGAGAGGACCAAATGTTTTGGTGTAATTGAACAAGTGCTATTACAGTCTGGAAAAAAAGGATGATTTACAACCTACCTAATGAAAAATAACTGAATATCATTGCGGTCTTTCCTGTTTTTATCACTATTGTGCTGTCTTATTTTCCTAAACTCTGCATAACAGAGAATGTTTTCTTTGGCCTAAGGTTCATACTGTACAGAACAAGGGCCCTATATTTTTCTGTCCATAGAATTTGCTTAGAAGTGCTATATATAAGAAACAATAAATAAATATTTTTAATGTCACAGTTGTTGCTGCTCTACCAAAAAAAATATAAGGTATGTTTAACTGCAGAGCTGTGCAAACCCAATGTGCAATAGCAAGAGCCAGTCATACGACATTCAACATGCTCAGTAGGTCACTAATGTGTAGGAGTTGAATATATTGATTTGTGTAAGGTTGGGTCTTACATGTATTTGGAATTATTGACTCTGCAGTTGAGTATGCTTTTATATTTGACTTTTCTTATTATTTGTAAAGATTTTTTTCATTATCATTTCCTATTAGGGAAAAAAAAGCACCATGGCAAAATTGTTGTTCAGCTTCTAAATGCAGACATGGCAGGAAATTTATAGCTACAATCCTCACTGTAACTATAGCACTGTCATGTATGCCATCATAAAATTATGTGCAAAATGACTTTCTTTGTGCCAAAGCTATTTCTATTGCAATTGTGACTCTCTCTCCTGTTTAATAACTGCAAATCAATAAATAGTGCAAATGCTGGAAGCTTTTTTATAACCTGCTATCAGATTTCTTCTTTTCCTTCCCAGACATAATAAATCCAGACTTCATGTTATGTCAGTTGTGAGTAGAGCCTTGTGGCCTAATTATTCTGAAATAATAAACTAAATGATTAGCTGAAAATTCTGCTGTAACTTTATGGAATTAGATTTTTCTATTACAATTTTCTAATTTGCTGTAGCATCTTTAACATATACCCCATTGTACGAATTTACATTTGACTTGCTTGTCGTTGAACACTAGCATATATGGTTTGATAACTGTTCTAGGTACTAAAGTAGTATGAGGAATGCTTGTGACAAGTAACTGCGTTAAAATGATAATGTTTTACTTACAGAATAGTTCATATTTGCCATCAGACATTCTGCCCACTCTACCAGCTAGGGAAGTGAGGCCCAGATTCCTGCTGTTTCACACATGCTTAGTCACAGCTAGTGGGTGCAGACATCAGGCTGCATGTACGTGTCTTAAAGCGTTTTCTTCAGGGTCTCTGATTCACAGAAGAGTCTACTTTGAACATTTGTTTGCTTATGCCAACAGGTCGTATACTTGGGAAGCAGAGGTTGATCCATCACAGTCTGTAGGGGAGTTTTGACTTTGGTTTTGTATAGTGTACTAGCTGCAGTCTGAGAGTACAGTGGCTGCAGTGGGAACAGCTGTGCAATTCCAGTGAATAAATAGCTCAGGAAGAGTAACTTGGCTCTTCACTCAGGAGGGGAACCCTAACTGACTTCCATCTACTTAAGCTCCTCTTGCTTGAAAATTGTTTCTTTCTGAGCCAAGATAAAGTTGAAAAAACACCGGTTTTGTTTGCTTTTGTTTGTTCTTGTTGTTTTTAAATATGTAAGGGAAGTGTTTAATTTCCTTATCAATTGCATGTGTTGGCTTCCTGAGGGGATTTGAAGCTTCAATACATTCTAGACACATTGGAATGTGAATTCCAAGGAATTCTGCCTTGAGCTTAGGAGTTCTAGTTGCATGTTACATTAAAATAAACTGACCCAGGGACTCACAATCTCTTGGCAAATCCAGAACAGTTGCCTTCTTTTTTAACTATTTTTCAACATAGTCACTACCAATAGCTATGCATTTTGACTAGCAATGAAGAAGAACCTGCATGTTGTGCTTATAAAAATGTGCACCAGTGGAGGTGACGCACTGTTTCACAGGTGCTGTAATGGCATCATTGTTAGGAAAATGTTGCTCATGCAGTCTGTCTTTCGTCAGCCCAAAGAGATGGAAGTCAGAAGGCTCCATATCCAGACTATGTAGTGGGTATGGTAGGGCAGAGCAGACAAAACTGACAGTTGTCAGCTAAGTGTCACAATATAGCAGTCAACATTGATGGTTTGTCCAGGATCCAGGAAATACAGAAGGATCACCTCCTTCCTATCACAAAAGACACTGCACAAGACTTTACCTGCGGAGGGATGGATCTTGAACTTTTTCCTTAATGGGGAATTCATATCACCGCTCCATTGGCTGCCAGTTTGACTTCAGCTTGGAGTGGTGACACAGCATCTCATCACTGGCAATGATGCAGTCACCTTCAGCCTTGTGTTGGTTCAACAGGTCCTGAAACTTGCATACAATGTTTTTTCTGTTCCTGTGTGAGCATTCATGGGACCCAACTGGTGCAAGCTTTGTGATTTTCCACTGTTGCCACCATTGTTTCCAATGCACTGAAGCTGATATTCAGCTTGGTATACAGTTCCCTGGTTGTGATCCACTGATTTACACAGATGAGCTGATTAAGATGCTCTTCATTTTGTGGTGCAACAGAATGTGGATTGACTTTCGTATTACTGTCACCACCCACCTCCTCCCTGTGCTCACATCCACTGTTTGGTCTCCATGAATGTTCAACAAGCGTCAATGAATGTCATTTGATGCAATTTTTTTTCGCATGGAGGAATTCAATTCCACACCTGTGTTTCCTACATACTTCCTGTGTCAGATGACAATTTGTCAGACTGCCCCTCTGCTGCCATCTGTTACACAGCAACAAAATGTGGTGGGTTACTGTCAGGAAAGGTCAGTCTCTACTGCCATACCTCCAACATCCACCTCTGACTTCATGGGTCAGCATAGTAAAGCAGGAGACATTACTTTCAGAGCAGACCTTATAGACTGAGTTTTCAATTGGATTTTGAAAAGACTATACATTGAAAATAACTACAGCAATATTTGTATTCTTCTTTGCCATCTAAACAGTGTACACTTCCTGAGGGTGAAAAATACATTGTGGTTATGACAGATAAGGCATATGATTTTGGGTTGTGGTGTCCTTTTTTTTTTTTTAAAAAAAAAAACCTGCTTTGCTTTTCTGGAATTCTCAACTGTCTGATATTTTGAGCCTTTAAATTAAAAAGAATATACTCTGTATTTAATGTACAAAATAATAATTTCTGTATTTATGTTTTGTTGATCATTAGCTTTCGTGGTAAACACAAAAGCATTGTAACTTGAAGGATGGTTTGAAGACCTATTTGGCCTTAAGTAGATAACTGAAGCATATTTACTAATATTTATTTACAGTTTCCCAACCATTCTTAACATAGTAAACAAAGCTATGAATTTAGAGTGACTATACAGCCAAATTCTGCATATGTGTATGTATCTTGCTTTGGTTCTGTGGGTGATATTTTATCTGATAAGATACTGATAACCCTGCAGAACTCTAGCTTCACCGTATTCTTTTTCATTGAAGATGAAATTTTTGGCAATACATAATGATTAATATTTTTCTCTGAAAAATTCCAGATAAACAACTGTCTGTAAATTACTGTTAATAATGAAGTATTGAAAAAGAGATTAAAAAACAAAGAAACTTTGCAAAGAGATAAAGAAAAAGAGAAAAATGCATAGGTTCCTTTTTGTAAGCCCTAAGCTGCTCTCTGTTTGCTTTTTCTAATGACTGTAATATCATTAGCATTATGAATTTGCTGTTTGTGTAAAATGCCAGCTCACCTGTTCAAAGTCTGCCCAAGAACTGGAAGTCTTTTCAGTGCAAAGAAGGGTTGCTAACTTACTGAAAACGGAAGGTGGAACCAGCCTCTAGGTGTTTTAATGATGTTTCTCAGTGGCTTGAAACAAAAATATGAGGAAGTGGTGGAGGGAGAAGTGCAGAATGCTTCTGCTGCGTACTTTTTTTTTTCCTCTGGTAACTGAAGGTTAAATGAGTAGCAAACAGAATGCCTTAAACAAGATTGGTATATTGATTAAAACGCTGATTTAACAGCTCGCTTTCTCCCTTTGGAAACCTGGAAAAGATAAGCCAGCTGCTGTCTAAGAGTGTTGAGTGTCCACTGAGAGTATACTATCTATCATCACAATATGGTGATGAGAGGTGTTTTATGTTTGTGTTAATTTCCCCCACTAAATCAGTAATTATTACAATCCTGTCCCTGCTGTTTACCCCGCAGCTGTTTTTCCATTTGTCGAGAGAGCGGGTGTTCTCAGAGGACCGCACACGCTTCTATGGTGCAGAAATTGTCTCAGCTCTGGACTATCTGCATTCTGGGAAGATTGTGTACCGTGATCTCAAGGTAAAAAAAAAAGGAAAAAAAAAAAAAAAAAGTAATCAAAATTTTTGTTTTTGCAGAGACTGTTGGGACAAACACAAAGTAATTATAAAGTTGCACTCTTTAGAGTTAGTGGAGAAGAAGTCTGAGTTCAGTGTGTGTTTGCTGAAGGAACCACTTTGACACAGTAATCCACAGGCACATTGCTCAAAAAAGTGTTCCTTCATGATGCTAGTTGAAGGAGATTTAAACCTCCAATGTTTTTTATTTCCCCCTTTTAGTTACAACTTAGCTCATATTTCCAGACAAATCTCAAGTAGTTAGTGTCTCCAAATAAGGGAAATGGAGAATTGGGAAAATGTGATGGTATTCTGCATATTTCACCAAAGAAATATGTTCTTCTATGTTTTGAAAACATGTTAAATAGTTTAGCATACCTTAATAGAAGAATTTCAGCCTTAATTTTTTGTCTTTCATATACTGGGAAAAATAGATACTGCTGGAATGCATTCTGTCTTAGATTGGCAGTTGTGTTACCAGCTGTATTGCCTGAAGCTCCTTTTAAGTTGTGCTGAAGATACTCTGTGATGCAGTGTGGGCATATTCTTTGGAAAATAGTCCTGCTTTCAACGGGAACTTCTTCAAACTTACATGGGAGGAAACCCAAATTTCTATGATGAGATCATTTTGTGAAAAGCCCAAATTTTTTACATTGTCACTTTATTTGTGTGTAGCTGTGGAGCAGGAACTGAAGAGAAGAAAAATGTGGTAGGCAAGTTTTGCATGAGGCAAAAGAATTCATAGCAGAATCTGTTTTTAATAACATGGAATACTGTGACATATTGCAAATACATGCAGTAGTCTGGTTGGGGAATGATACAGCACAGTTTTTTGTTAAAATTTAAAAAATTATCTAGTGCAGCAGCCTATCCTGTTCAGAAGTACTAAGGGAATGTTTTTTTTCCTCAACACACAGTTAGAAAATCTAATGTTGGATAAAGATGGGCATATAAAGATTACAGATTTTGGACTTTGCAAAGAAGGAATCACAGATGCAGCAACTATGAAAACATTCTGTGGTACTCCAGAATACCTGGCACCTGAGGTATGATCTAGAATATACTCTTGTAACGTGGTATAAAATGTTGATTTTTCATTTAATTTTAGACTGCAGTGTTTGTATGATGAACACTGTTCGTTGTGGTTAAGAATTGACAGTCTCATTAATACTATACAGTTATAGTTTAGAATTCTGTATGCTACTGCTCTTGCTTTTTAGTGATTCTATGTATAATGATGCTATGCTTTTTAGTGTTTAATAACACCTTTAACATGTATTTTCCTTCTCATGTTTGCCTTTCTCTGATAAAGCTTTTATCTTTCAATAATTACTTCAGAAGTAATCTTCAGTCTCTCTGTCACTTGGAACATGTGATTCTACTTAACTGAGATGTGTAACTAAATTTGTGTAGTTTTCCTGGACAGGAGGGAGAAACTGAGTTTGCTGGGTTTTATCTGAACTCTCCAGATGCAGGGAGTTGAAATTTTAGACATTTCTTCTAAGCCATTGAGTATACCAACCTCAGAACTGGCTGAGGTAAATGTGTGTTGAAATGCCACCCCAGGATATTCAGCTCTGTCTTTACAGGTAGCCACTGATCAGTGTCATCTTGAGAACTACCAAAAAGATGGACATAAGAATGTTGTTTTGGTTTCCTTCACAACTCTGATTTGGGCGCTGTGGAATCTACTGTGTAAACTCAAGCAGAGGATATCAGTGAGGACTGATATTGGAGAAAATCTGTCATGGACTCTTACAGAGAGAGAGAGAGAGAGAGAAAAAAAAAAAAAAAAAAAAAAAAAAGGAAAGCCAGGGAAGTACACTCCACATTGGGTTTTTGTCCTCTTTGGCTTCAGTCAGCAGTACTGGCTGTGCTGCCTCTCCCCCACTGTTCCCAAATGCAACTCTGATACTAACATGAGAGGGAGCATTATTTCTTAATGGAAGGATCCTGCATTACCCAGTATTTCCATTTTTGCCTGTATTGGGGGATCATGAATTGATACATTAACACACGCTTGATACTGAGACAACTTTCAGGCAACTGAAAGGACTTTACAATATCACAGAATCACAGAATCGCAGTGGTGGGAAGAGTCTTCAAGAGATCATCGAGTCCAACTTCCCTGCCAAAGCAGATACCCTACAGTAGGTCATGCAGGTAGGCATCCAGGTTGGTCTTGAATATCTCCATAGATGGAGATTCCACCATCTCTCTGTGCGACCTGCTCCACTGCTCCATCACCCTTACTGTAAAGAAGTTAATGTGCATGTTAGTATGGAACTTCCTGTGTTCAAGTTTTATGTCCTTCAGCCCTGCTTTTCTTTCCAAGACACATACATCAAAAGATCCTCCACCTCTTGCAGTTGTTCAATACCACCAGCAAAATTCTGTTCAAATTGTTTTTTGAAGAAGAATGTGCATTAGTTTAGAGGAAGGAGATAAAGAGGCTCTGATTCAGCATGGCTCTTCACCCTCCTACCTTCTTGGGAGTATTGAATTCTGAGCAGCAGGAGCAGCAGCAAGCCCTGAAGCCTCTTTGAGCAAGCTGGTTAGATTGTCTTTAATTTCTCATTCTGTACCTTACAATTAAGGGATTTCTAGGAAACTGGTAGACATCACCTTCAGGATACTGGCTGTGAGATGTGGAGATGGTCAGGTTTGAGTGTTTGAGACTTCTGAGTTTGACATTTTTTCTGTGTTTACTGCAGAGGCACTCAGCATTTAAATGCATTTAAGGATTTCTGAGCTATTCTTAGCCAATTTGGAATTTAGGGCTGCTTAGATGATGTTGCTCTTTTGCCTGTTTGGCTTGGTACACTGGCCATTTTTCTTGTGTTCTGTACTCGGAATCTGTTGCAGCCATAGAAGAGCACAAAGAATGATACTATCATCTCTGCACAGACTGCAGTTGCCGTTGCCACCTCTTACTCTCTTGTTGTCTTCTTGTCAGCAGTCCTGAAAACATTCTAAGATGCAGATACCCTGTTTAGTTGCTTTCATCTACTTCTCAATATAACAGTTTTGGAAACATTACTTCTCTTCCATCAAATTTGGCAGTGGGTCGTCCTGGGTTTTAGACACCTTCCACAAGTTACTTGATCCAATTTGCCTTTCTGTTCTCTAGCTGTCCCACCCTTCTTCACCTCCCATTATGAGTATTTTTGGAGAACTTACAATGTATAAACTTATCTGGAGTGAAACTGACTCTTCATTAACCCTAGCGCAGAACTCATTCCCTTTTAGCTCAGAGATAAAGGTTTTAGAGCCAGCAACCTAGACAAAATTTAAGTTACTGAGATAGCAAGACAAGACTTAACGTATTTATCTACAAGTTCTAATTTAAAAGGATTGTGTTAGTAGTAGATGAATGGTATTAGGAAAAAAATACCCAACCTTTCCTCTGTTACTGTAGTGTTTGATCACATGAAACCATTGTGTCTATTTTCATACCTGGGACAGCTGACTGACAGGGAAACAGGGTGCTCCAGTATTTTCATGTGTTTGTGACAGGGAACTCACTTCATGTAGTTCAGATCACAGAAGCCATTACCAGAGTGCAAAGACTAATGGACTTTTGTCTAATTGCAGATCATGAGAACTTAATGTTACAGCTGGACTTCAATCATTTTACCATTGCTTTCCTAAACAGTATCACATGCTTAATGAATAAACACAGAAAACTGAGAAAGTGCTTGTACTTGTAAATACACAAGTGAGATATTTAAAAGCAGTTTGAATTTTGAAAGTTTGCAGCACGTTGTGAGGGATCGTAGACATACTAATAAGGATACACATCTCTATAATCTGCTTTCTTTAGCAGAATATTTAAGAAATGAAGCTACTTGGGCAAAGAAATAAAATTTCCTTTAGCTCAGATTATATATTTATGAAGGTAATTTCTTATATGACATTACACTTTTCTGACTCTGCATTTCAGTTCAAGTCCTTATGAGATGGCATTTCTTCAAGAAGAGTAGTCTTTTATTTAAAAATATTACTGCAAGGCCACTGCAATAGCATTTATGCAATTTACAGCCACTTATGACAATAAATAAAACCAGAATGGATTCATAGCTTTGTTGATAGGTGTGAGAAAATTTGCATGTTTTATAATTTACCAGTGCAGATGAAAGAAATGCAGTGCTATATGTTACACAATGCTTGTTTAGCCTTTTTTTTTTCTTTCTCTTTTTTAAGTCTTACTTTTAAAAAGGAGAGTGAGAGAGATCATCTGTAATTATTTCCCCGAGATTAACCAAACAAAAGGTCAAAGTCTTTTTGTTTAGAAGTAACCACTCTTCCTTCATACTTCACTAGATTTCTTATTTATACCTCTTTGGAGGGCTAAGGCTTTGATGTGTGAATGACCTAAAATCTAGAACTTGGCTGTTGGAGGTCAGTGGCTGAATTTCAGCAAGGGAGAAGCATGGTGCCTGCACAACTGGCCACACCGTCCAAGTCTGATTTGTCACAGCAAGAAACTTCCCATGCGCTACAGGAACTGAACTTGAATTTTTCTAGAATGTTGTAGTGCATATAGGTTATAAAATGCTGTAGTAGAGGCAGCTATACATTTAGCTATACGTTGGTGCAGCTGTGCATTTATTTCATTCTTACAGTGCTTGCTTCTATTGGCTCTGGATATTTACCAAAGGTAGTCTGATTAATTTTTGGACTGAGAATGTGGTGGTCTGCCACATAGCTTGTCTGATATGAGTTGAATCTAATGTATATAGGCACGGAGGGAACCACTAGGAAATAATGTATAAGGGTAGGATGAAAATCAGTGTTTTAATTTTTTGCAGGCATTATAGGAGAGCAGTGTTTTAAAGGGAGACTTCAATGCAGGTAAAAGTTGCAATAGGAATATTACTGAGGAGTTCCTTCAGTCATGGGGAAAAGCATGAAGGTGCTTGTTTGCAGGGAATCTGATGACACAAGAGGGCTGGGTCCTCTGGGTGGACATGCTGTGCAACAGAAAAAATGAAGTTGTGTAGGTAATATAGTCAAAGCCAGTTGTTTTTTTTTTTCCCGTTTTTGTTTTTGTTTTGTTTTTAATCGACAGAGAGGTGTATTTCAATAAGGTAAAGATGAGAGTAATGGGAAAGGTTAAAATCGTTTTTTTTTTTCCCGGGTAGATTAAGGTGCCAGAAAACACAGCTTAGAGATGAGAGGTTTTCTTTATTGATAAAAGTGTGGTTGTGAGTAGGAAAGCAAAGCTGAGCTGAACAAAAGACAATTGTGTTATTTTGTTAATTTTCCTTTAACAGAAAGTAATAAAGTGTTTTGCGGAGATGAAAGGCAGTCAGAATTGATGACTGAATTAATATAGAGAGGAGCAAGGTGCAAAGTTGTTGGTTTAGGAACATAGAGGTTCTGAAGGATGGAATTATTTTTGTTATGGCTTGTGCCTGTTTATCTCCTTTTCCTTCACATTTTATTTGAATTTGAAGATAATTGAGGCACCTGAGTGATTCGCTTTTTGAAATTCTGTACGGCTTTTATATGTGATAGGTATGCACCTTTGTTTTCCAGGGCTAGAACTATTGGATAGTACAGGTAAATAGGGAAGAAGAGAATGTGGGGAAAGTGAGGTAAAATAGCTGTTAAGATGTTGCTAGATGACAACCGCATTCGCAAGGCTGTAAGAACAGTAGGAACTGTAAGAGTTGGAACAATACTGCTAGGAGAAATAGTGAAAAAGAGACTTTATTTTGTCCTCTGTCTTCCATCATTCTCTACAGAACAAGTTCTCATTTGTATTTGGTTGCTTCTGGTGAACAGCCTTCTGATCGGTGGCATTTTGGCTTTATCTGAGGCAGGGGATGATTTCACTTGCTATTGGGATTCTTTTTATTCTCTTCATTTCTCTTGATTCTTTTTTCAAGAGAGGACAGAGAGACAGTACACCAAGTTGTCTATATTAGTCAAATGTATTTTAAGACCTGAAGCCTGTGGTGCTATCTCTAACAACACAAAAAAAAAGTCACATATGTAATTTTTGTAGAGTGAAGTTAATGTGTATTTGGAGGCTGGGAGG